CACCATCGTTTTCTTCTGGATCGGCTACACTATCCACTGGTCCTGTGGTTTCATACAATCAGACTCCATATTCGAGTGTAAAATGTCAAGAAATGTTAAACACCCATAGGTCAGTGAAGACAATTCAAGAAGACCAAGGGCACGATGAATTCCAAAAGGAACCTCTCGCTAAGTTTAAAGTCGCTGAAGAGTCGTGGCAGTGTACCATCTGCATGGTGAGAAATGACAGTGACATAGTTGAGTGTGCAGCTTGTGGAAGTCTGAAACCAGAAACAGAGCAGAGTCAAGACCAAAAGACAAATACCAAAACGTTTCTACTGGCGTCTGCTACACCATCGTTTTGGTTAGGATCGGCTACACTATCCACTGGTCCTGTAGGTTCATACAATCAGACTCCATATTCGAGTGTAAAATGTCAAGAAATATTTAACACCCAGAGGCCAGTGACGACAAATCAAGAAGACCAAAGCCACGACGAATTCAAAAAGAAACCTCTCGCTAAGTTTAAAGTCGCTGAAGGGTCGTGGCAGTGTGACATCTGCATGGTGAGAAACGACAGTGATAAGACTGAGTGTGCAGCTTGTGGTGGTCTGAAACCAAAAGCAGAATCAAGTCAAGACCAGCAAAAAGAAAGCAAAACATTTCTATTGGCATCTGCTACACCATCGTTTTCTTCTGGATCGGCTACACTATCCACTGGTCCTGTGGTTTCATACAATCAGACTCCATATTCGAGTGTAAAATGTCAAGAAATGTTAAACACCCATAGGTCAGTGAAGACAATTCAAGAAGACCAAGGGCACGATGAATTCCAAAAGGAACCTCTCGCTAAGTTTAAAGTCGCTGAAGAGTCGTGGCAGTGTACCATCTGCATGGTGAGAAATGACAGTGACATAGTTGAGTGTGCAGCTTGTGGAAGTCTGAAACCAGAAACAGAGCAGAGTCAAGACCAAAAGACAAATACCAAAACGTTTCTACTGGCGTCTGCTACACCATCGTTTTGGTTAGGATCGGCTACACTATCCACTGGTCCTGTAGGTTCATACAATCAGACTCCATATTCGAGTGTAAAATGTCAAGAAATATTTAACACCCAGAGGCCAGTGACGACAAATCAAGAAGACCAAAGCCACGACGAATTCAAAAAGAAACCTCTCGCTAAGTTTAAAGTCGCTGAAGGGTCGTGGCAGTGTGACATCTGCATGGTGAGAAACGACAGTGATAAGACTGAGTGTGCAGCTTGTGGTGGTCTGAAACCAAAAGCAGAATCAAGTCAAGACCAGCAAAAAGAAAGCAAAACATTTCTATTGGCATCTGCTACACCATCGTTTTCTTCTGGATCGGCTACACTATCCACTGGTCCTGT